CGCCTTGAAAACTAGAACAAATCCGGGGAAATCTGGACGGATGACAGCCCCACCCAACCCAGCAACCCATAGTTTAGGCGGTTACACACGGACGTGGATGTCTGAAAACATGTACGCACATACATGAACGTGCAAACAAAAACATCAATGTGTATGCAAAATACCGTCGCGTTTTTGAATGTGCAATTTTGTATGCACACTCGGAACACTGTAGCAAGAATAGCAAGACTGCAGTTTTGTGCGAGCGTCTGTACAAAAGCGCCATGCACGTTGTTGTTTGCACGTGGATGTATGCACGTATATGTAGTAAGACATCCACGTCCGTGTGTAACCGCCCAATAGCAAGACTGCAGTTTTGTGCGAGCGTCTGTACAAACGCGACATGCATGTTGTTGTTTGCACAATGATGTATGCACGTATATGTATCAAGACATCCACGTCCGTGTGTAACCGCCTTTTAATAAACAAATATTACATCAATCATCAAAACAGAAACTATCACTTTTCCTTTGATTGAACTGAACCATTTGCCGACAATGCTGACTTACGATAAAGAATAATAGGTGAAGATGAGGTCGATAAAATAAATAAGAAACAGCAACATTTTATTTCTTATTTTTTGCTTTTGTTTTTTAAGAGCGGTAGGGGCGGGGGGGGCCGTCGCCCCCCCTGCCCCCCTACTGGCTACGCCACTGCTTTATCTTTAAAAAAAAGTTGACATATATTTCTTGTTCCCTAGACTATTTTGATCAGTGTAAATTGTACATTATGAGCCAGGTAACAGTTTTTACAGGCTCTTGGAGTGACTAGGAGTCAAACTCCTCGATTAAAAATTCGCCGACGTATCGGCCTTATATTAGGTCTTCTTTAGGGCTGAAAGGAAAGGAAATACTAATGTGTATTTCCTTTAATTTCAGCCCTAAACCTCACCATTGTCATCCACTACTTCTAAACTAAAAGGACGCGAATATCTAAACCACGTAAAATACTATGTATAACAACTTGAGTTTATGATTATATGCACATTCTTTTTTTGTGTTCACTCTGGAAGAGGTTGGTATCATTGAAATTACGTGTATTTATGCTATTGAGAATACAAGAACGTAAAACAGCTGATCCCGTGAAGAAATTCATAAATTTATAGGTACATGTATTAATACCCAAATATCCAAAGTACCTACTTATTGTCACCGATTTCACGGGTCTACTAAAAACTCTGTTTACTCATAACATCTTTTACTGAATTACCTAACCTAATTGACTAGAAAATTCACTAATCACTTATCACTTTTACCTAACTTTATACAAATTTCTTTTTAAACTGACTGCAGCGTACAAGCCACGCGCTTAATATACAAAACCATTCAAACGAGAAATCTCTAGACTTTTTATTCAAATCACACAATAAAAACAAATTCCTGATTATTTGCGCTACTAAAAATTGAAATCGTCACAACATTTATTCGTTGATAAATAAATAAATAAATGTCACTTGAAGAAATATTCCAGTGTAATTATTCCAGACAAGCTTTGTTTCAGCATATATTTACCATTTTCCAGTAACTAAGTAGTGGAACTTTATTATGCTTGAAAAAAATCAATACTCGCTTTATTATACTGAATTTGCGAATTAGGTCGAACACGGAGCCTTTTTTAATTTTGAAGTTTTAGAAGTAGGTACAAGTATCGATTTGCAGAAAACGCGGCAATGCCCTAAACTGACCCACAAAAGTTTGTCGCATCAAATTGGCATAATCATAATAGTCAGGTCACTTTAAGCAACACCTATTATTTTTATAAGTTTTTGTACATGGTTTTTTTGGCACATTGATTACTTTTTCAGGCAAATACCTTATCAAAAAGCTATTATCACAATGTCGCAGAATGACATTATTATTAGATGAAAATATTCCATGCTTGAGAACAGTGTCAATTTGTTATTCAAACAAGTACCAGTTAGTATTACGAACAATATGATTTGCCTTTCTCTCGCACAAGATTATCATACCAATATGGTTATCTAAATTTGTCTGTTATTTGCATATTGTTAGTGCATTATTTATTGCTTTCATAATTTGCAAAACCAGTTGGTATACATATGATGCAATCAGAATTTTCAGTTTTAAAATAGATTCTAAATCACATTGTATTGTTGTTTGATAGATCCTAATGTTTTGTCTCAAGGCATCCTAGTTAAATTTCTGAAACTTCTGGTATTAGTATTATTTTTAGTAGTCCTTTACTGTGAATACGATGTAAATATTCCCAATACATGTATGTATTTAAATCTATGTCTTTAATCTCTAGACTTTTTTGTTTACTTATAGCAGAAGAAGAAGAAAAATGTTTGAATGTGTTTCTGTTCTTGTAGACAGGATATTAATTTGAGAGAGGCGATATTTGGTTAGACTCGATACACTCATTTGGACATTGGGAATGTTTGAGAAAAGTACCTCTTAAGGGGACGTTAATTACCTTGAAATCTGTCAGTTCTGTGCTCTGACTGGTTGTTTTTTTTTTACTTCGTCTGCAAGATAAAACCTTACATCAGAATTGACTCAATTTAGACATACATCGAGGCATAAACATCCTTTGATCGATTAGGTATGCTACAATGCCAGTTTTTCGGTATTTCGCGTATTTCTGAAAATGAAAAATAATGTGTAGGTATATCTAATTGCCTAGTTTCCAAGGTTTTAGGCCTGGATTCGGAACCCACGATTCGATATTATTGTCTATCGTCACTCGTGCAAAAGTACTTACCTGACGATAGACGATACTATCGAATACCTAGTGGGTTCGGAATCCGGGCCCTGTTATGGATTATTTTTAAGAAATAAAGAATTTACGCGAAAAAAAATCGAGAAACTAAATTACATATTGTAGATAATCGATCAAATTAATGTTTGTGCCAAATCTTAACCAATTCTGATGTGAGATTTTTAATTCTATAAATAAATATTAGGTAGTGTTTGTTTAGGGATTGCACTCAACTTATCTATGTTGGAATTATTATTTTTAAATTGTAATCCTACCTGATAATTCGAAAAGAACGTGAATCAAAGATATGGATATAAAAAAAATCAAAGTAGGTACTCTTTGATTTCGTTTTTGTTGAAGATCCGTTACCTTTCATATGGTACACATTTTCAATTTATACAATATGCAGAAAAACATTTTACTTTGTGACCTTTTTGTCCAATCCATAATCCATGCATTTCAATTTCTCCTACACTAAATATTATCATTAACAAAAAATCGAAATTATATTGCTTCTATCATTTGGTACTCCCAAAATAACTAGGTATCTGGAGGCTGGACGAGTTTAAATACAAAAACAATAGGGCTTCAAATGGGGCATATAAATATTTACAAATTTTATAATTTTCTGTTTACCCACCAAAATTAAACAAAATCTTATAAATAGAACATTTTATTTTAGATTTTAAAACTTAGTTTAAAAAGACGCGCTTCTCGACAGATTCTTGAAACACTCATTAACCAAGTAGATGAAACTTGGCCTGATGTTTAGTAAGTTATTAAATTTGATTCAACATGTAAGTACATACATTTAAATTGCGTGTTGTCTTCTATTTTCTCTTTTTAATTTGCTATTAGTGAATTTGTGCTTGGAAAATTATTATAAAATCTGTTAATAGAAAGCTGCGAAATTATTGCCCTTCATTGTTTTGGGTGTTAGCGGATAATCATAATCTAAATACAGAATGGGTAATTGATTTTATCTACGATCATAGAATAAAAGTTACTTTTAAGAAAATGAAATTAGTACCCAAATATCCAATACCTAACAACAAAAACCTCTTTACAGTAAAAAAATCATCCAATTTAGTTTATGTAATTTTAGAGCCAGACACTTTACATTACTGCCCTGTTCCCGAAGCTCATAAACTATCTTCCAGGCTTCCGTTTGTATATTCCTACGACTCTAACCTGATATTAGATGTGCTTTGCTATTCAGATGGTGTTTTTATAGGTATTATGTATTGTCCCATATTTATTGAAGTAAGAGTTAAATAGTGGATTGTGTATGACAAACTTCCTGAATTAGTGGAAACCTTTTTGCTTTGCAGTCCTATTTTTATTGAAATTCTACATCGCACATGCGTCATGATCTGAGACTCCGCATTCACAACCTGACATTGAACACTACTTATTCAATTCCAAATTCGCGCAAACATGATTTTGAATGTGGGTTAATTTTTGTAGAACTTCCAACAATGAAGATCAAGAGCTCCGAAAATCGAACCCAACAACAAAATCTCAAGCTTAAACAGAAAATTGCTGCTAAAACTGCCAGGAGAGTGATGTACACACAAAATACAGAGACTGACTGACTTACAAAAAAAAATGGCTCAAGCCTATGCTCACAAAGAAGTTTTAAATAAAATAAATGCCGCAAAAATCATATATTGTTTCTTCATATTCCAACTAGGCAAAAATTGCGGCTTTTTCTATTTTTGGGTACTTAATTTGTGTTTAAATGTTCAAGTATATTGTAAATTGCAATATAAATAGTCCACTGCAATACCTGCTCCACAAACAAGTTGCTCAATTAACTAAATAAATTCATCTAAGTATTTATCTATTACAATTAGGTATGTAATTTCAGGTCCAGGTCTTTTCGCATAGATCTGATAATTTGTGATAATTTTCTATGTCTGATTCGGATATAAACTCGGTTATAAAACAAGTAAATACCTAGTTGATAAAAGATATTAGGTTTTGATAATAGTTTGTTACATACCATATGTAGATAGATAGAAAGATAAAAAGGATTAAATAGAAATTGATAGCGAGTATATTAACAATGGTTAGTATTAAAAAAGTCTAATTATACATTTAAAATTGATTGATTAAAATTAAAACTATTTCATAAATGGAAATTAAATCGAGTGTTTTATTTCTCTTAGCACTAGCACTTATGTTGAATTTGGAACGTATACTGAACAATTTAAAATCTTCACTTATATTTTTTTCAGGCTGAAAGACTGAAAAAACTGCCCAATATGGAACATTCGCAGCTCATTGAAGAAATGCCGCACATCGAACAAATGCCCACACAGGACCGACTCATTCTTGCCAGGAAACGAAGAAGTCAACAGCTGAAACAGTGGCTGCACAAGGAGAAAGAGTACAACCGAAAAAATAATAAAGCTTCGAAGAGCGCCAAGCGAGGTATTGTATTTGATGATAGTGTGGTACTACTTGAAGCTGCAGCAAGGAACGATATAGATGAAGGTAACAATAAATGCTTCTAACTATTACATTCTGTTAAACCAGGCTTGTAGCTTTTTATTCGCTGAACTTCTAGGAATAAGATTGACCCCATCTTTTAAAAAGTATGAGAGTTGTACCACATCTATATGTAGATGGAGCTCCTGCTCTGAATCAAATCAAGTTGAGCTGTATAATAAAGAACAGTGCTTTTGAGCACATTTTAAACTTTTTGATCCGATCATTCTACTTCTGCCTCTTAAAGTGAGTTTTGAAATTGGTTAATCTAATCAGTCCTCATACGGCAGATCTTAGAGCTCCCATCTTAGTAATAGAAGCTATATAATATATAATTCATAAAGCGAACTGAAGACAATCGCAAAAATATTGTCAATCTGTTTTACGTTATTTTATAAAAAATCAATAATGATAATTTTTTCAATTTCAGTTAGAAGATTGTTAATGAAAGGCGTCAGCCCAGACTCGTGTAATGAAGACGGACTCACTGCCTTGCATCAGTGCTGCATAGATGATAACGAACCAATGTTGTCGCTTTTGCTGGAATATGGGGCTAATGTTAACGCTGAAGACAGTGAGAGATGGACGCCATTACATGCCGCTGCCACTTGTGGACATTTAAGACTTGTTAGGTAATGAAGATAATAATAGTCTCTACACATAATAATACCATATAGAAAGGGCAAATTACCTTATACCTTTTTTTAAAAAATTATATTAGCTGGGCAGTTACATCGGATTAAACAAAGTTTAATGATGAATGAAAGCTACACTTGATACAGATGTTTATTACGACCGTTGGAATCATTTATGAGGAAGAGCAAAAAAAAAAATCCATAAAAGCTCTTTCACCTGATCTGTTGTGTGTTGTGAAAGAGCTCTAAGAACTCTATTATGAATCATAATGGAGAAATTTATAATCAACACTGTTCCATATAGTAAAAAGAAACAAACCAAAAAATGTACCAAAGATTTTCCACCCTTCCCCGTTTCCCGAGGAATTAATTTGGTAGCTCTTAAGCATCTGTACCAAATGTATTGCTGTCATAAATAGACGAGTATAATCCCAAAATTGTTAACAATAGTAGATTATACCACGAGTCAATAATGATAGCTATTAAAAAAAATTTCATCCGTCTCATAATTTTCAATACAAATCCACAAGCACTACACGTTTGACACTGACAGTTTTGTGGAATAATGACCATTAATCCCGCTACTCGTCATTAATCCCTGGAGGAATAACATATGTCATTATACTGCCAAAATCAAAAATATAATACGCACATTATACATTAGTCGTAAATAATAGTAGATTATACCACGAGTCAATAATGATAGCTATTATTCCCGAGGATTATTACGAACTGAGCCGCGTTAGCGGCGAGGGAGTAACATTCCGAGGGAATAATAGCCATTATTGCGAGTAGTATACTTTACTTTATTTACGACAAATTAAATTATTTGAGATTTTCAATGAACAAATTTCATCCGTCTCATAATTTTCAATACAAATCCACAAGCACTACACGTTTGACACTGACACTTTTGTGGAATAATGACCATTAATCCCGCTACTCGTCATTAATCCCTGGAGGAATAACATATGTCATTATACTGCCAAAATCACAAATATAATACGCACATTATACATTAGTCGTAAATAAATATCATTATTTAACTACTCAGTCGTTGAGGCAGACTCTAATAAAACTAGGACAGCTTATGGTACTCGTTTATGCGATAATCCTTGATATATTTGCTTGAAAGATATGTAGGAGAAGTTTCATACTCCTTGAGTTGGGTAGTTAGCAGTGTAATCCATTAATTCCGCACAACAGTCGGGCAAAAGCAAAAATTTGAGGAATTTTCCCTAAACAATCAATGATAAATAATACATCACTGATGATGTGCATAATAATAAAAACCTATTGATGTGTTACTTCACAGGATACTGATATCTCGTGGAGCAAACCTCCTAGCAGTAAACGCCGACGGCAATATGCCCTATGACATTTGCGAGGATGAACAAGCGCTGGATTACATTGAGAGTGAAATGGCAAAAAACGGAGTAACTCAACAGCTTATAGATGAAACACGAGCAAGCACCGAGAAACGAATGTTGGCGGATATGAGAGCTATGGCACAGAGGGGGGAAAGTCTGGAACAGTATGACGCTCAAGGGGCAACCCCGGTAAGTAAGTAATAAAGTTTTATGAGTTGCTTGATTAAACCTCGAAGGAGCTAGATTAAAGTTTGCAAAAAAAAATAATTAAAAATAAATGCGGGAGAAATAAGGCACATGAGACGGCATAGTAAGGGATTAGCTATAATCAATCTCATGCCTAATAAATTGGTTATTTTTATATTCCTGCATGCCCAATGGCAAGTTGTTTCTTGCGCCTTGTGCACTACTCAGGCACATTTGCAATACATATCTTGTTGAACCAGCATGCAGTCATCCCGGTTTATGAGTGATATCAATTTTTTTTTAATAGCTCTCCTGAGCCTTTTAAAAACCTTATAGACAATCAATGAACCGTTAATTTTAATTTGAAGTACAGTCACGATTTTTTTTTTAGATTGTTTGTAATTTCTTTGGTGTACCAGTTTATTCAAACCAAGTCCCTAAGTTTATCAGTATTATAGAGGGTAACCGCTCAAGACAGTTTGTTACATCGGAAATATTAGCCAACAGACCCCAGTTTACCTCTGAGATGAGCAGGTAAAAGAGTTGTGGGTTTGGAGGAAAATCCTGTCCTGTGCCTTTTACAGAACCATGCAAAACAATATACATTTTGGGATGTTGATTATACAGTTCTAGCTACAGTACTGCTAAAGTCAATAAGATTCAATCTGGTATCACTTTTGGTTACCAAATGGAACATAGAAGTTTCTGGAATTGTCCAAAAAATCTATTTGTGAACTTGTTTTCTGTCCAAATCCAGTGATAAAGGCACTGTTTCAATTTAACAAAAGTTCACTTATTGTTCCTACTAATTTAGCTCCGATCAATCTAACTAATTATTCATCTAATTATCTCAAACTAATTCACTATTCTCGCCAATTATTCCATTTATGCCACCGACCTTGTAAACCGAAAGAAGAAAAGAACCAGCTGTTCGTTTACCCATGTGATTGCTGCAGAAAGCACATTTGCAAAGCTTGTGCTTAGCTGTTTGCCTGCCTCTAAAGTCTGCCTTGTCATGCAAACAAGATTAGTGATCTTTAGGTTCCCCGGCAGTCTTAAGGATCTTAAAGGACAGGTCAGAAAAATCGAAAGTGAGAACATAGAATCAAAGGAAAAACTAAGCTGGGAGATTTGTCAAGATCATTGAAGGAAACTGTTACCATAATTAGGCAAGAATCATCGAAGGAAATCAAAAAAGTTGAAAATTCCCTAGCAAGCGACATCCAAGGTGTGAAGAAGGAAGTGGCGGATACCAGTGAAATGATTGCTAATATTAAAAATAATATCAATGATACCCATAAGAAGACCTACGCTGAAATATTATCAAAGGTAAAAGAATTACATTTACAAAACGAAGTCAAGATCGACATTGAGGCAGAGAACACAAAATTCAAAGAGGATTTTGAAAATCTCCAGGAAAGAGTATCTTTGAAGGTGAGCGAAGCACAACATTATGTAGGAGGGTGATCCCACCCCACGATTACCGAAATGGAAGAGAGAGGGAAAACCGCAAGTTTAATTTTCTAATATTCGGTGTTAGAGGGTCAACAGCTCCCACTGGACTTCAACGCAAAGCACAAGATTTATTCTCAATTAAAAACATCATCAAGCAAATCTCAAAAGACATAACCACATATAGTATACAACACTGGGAAGACCCAAAGATAACTCTGTCCGTTCTATCAAAATTATCCTACCAGCAAGAGACGATGCCGAAAATGTCCTAAGGAATAAGAACAAAGTCGCGAGCGACATAGGCGTGTACATTAAATACGCCCTCACATAACTACAAAGAAAATTCCGCAGATCGTTTTTGCAATAATTGGAAAATCACACTGCTGGAGGTGAGAACAACTTGAAGAGTACATACTTTAATGGCTGTCCGAAAATCGTAAGGGATCAAGCGAAAGCTCAAATCCAAAACAACGCCTCAAAAAACTAACAAAGCCTCTCATTGAGGCTTCATTCCTCTATATCAATCAAAATTCCATATGACAAAAATCGATGAACTCTGAATATCCATTGCAACATCAACCCCAACTTTCAAATTATTAACAGAGACATGGCTTCACAGCACAAGCTCCTTATGGTTGCGAATCGGAATAGCCAAACAAAATCTGCTAATTGTGTGTATTTATAGACCCAACTATCTATCGCCAGAAGAAAACCTAGCCCTTCTAAGAATCATGGACACTGCAATGGCGCTACCAGTGCCTACCTTTGTTTTTGGTGATTTCAACTACCCCGAGATTGATTGGAAAAGTTTAACGCTAACACAGTTCAAACAAGTTTCCAGCGATTTTCTTGATATTTATCAAACGATGAATGCTTTCCAACTGATAACTTTCCCAACCAGATTTAGAGGCGATCACTACTCACTCCTCGACTTAGCAGTGGTAAATGACAAAAAAACTTCTATATAACATTCGCAGTGAATCCTCTATAAGACTAAGTGACCATGTAGTCGTACGAGCAGACACACAACTGAATGCGCACCTCAAGGAAACTCACTCTGTCAAAAAAAGAAACTTCTGTACTGCTGACTATGAGGTAATTAACCAATATATATCTGACCGGGTGAATGAACTACCTTATCAAGAAGACATTAACTATGAAACGTGCGAAAGCATTCTGACTGATGCTATTGAACGACACATTCCACTTAGAACCCGGAAAGTCAACCATAGTAGGCCATGGCTCAACAACTCAATATTTCGCCATATAAAAAACAAGAGGAAGCTATGGGATAGGTACAAAAGAAACAGCAATCAAAACAACTACGAATCATACCGAAGAGCATAACAGTTTAAAAACCGAAATAGCAGAGGCCAGAAAAGCATGAGAAAGACCTAGCAATATCTTCAGACAAATTATTTTTTTTCATATATCAGACGAAATCTCAACTCGAACATTATCCGCAATAAATCTAAGAGACTAAAACACTGAGAAAATAATTACTGACTGCAGAGGTGATTTTGGATCACTTTGAAAAAGTGTTTACTCGAGAACCTCCGGACAACATGACGAAACTACCTGCCTATTCAAGAAACGGTGCGACCTTATCAACTATTGTTTTTTCCCCCGACATCGACGAAGAGTCAATTCTGGCCCTCAAGAAAGATTCTAGTCCAGGTCTCGACAACATTCCAACTATATCATATTTTCACGAAAATGTGCAAAATCTATCAGCTCGCCCCTTGCACACCCAATGACTAACCTGATGAGTAGTGAGACAGTACCGGAAAAATGGAATGAAGCCTACATCATTCCAATTCATAAAAAAGGCGGTAAGCTTCATCTAAAAAATTATCGTTTCATAAGTCTTACTTGTAACACTTGCAAATCCATGGAAAAAATTGTAACCATACAACTGACAAACTTTCTAATGGAAAATAACATCCTTCTGGCTTCACAGCATGGATTTTTGCCTAAATGATCGACTGAAACCAACCTACTAACATGTTTCGATACATGGACAAATATGAATGACGAGGAACAACCTATTGACGTTGTATACCTGAAATTTGAGAAGGCTTTCGATAAGGTTCCAATCAATCGCATATTATACAAACTTCACCACTATGGAATCCGTAACAACGTATTGGGTTAGATCTGAGACTTTCTAAACAATCGAACGTATCAGGTCAGAGTTGAATGGGGCTTATTCGACCCGACATAAGGTATATAGTGGAGTACTGCAAGGCTCTGTACTTGGTCCAATACTCTTTCTCATATATATAAACGACCTGCCAATGAATCTCAAAAAAGTCAATTCATTTGAAGATTACACCAAGCTATTTTGCAATCCCACCACCAGCAGAGAAGAGCTTAAATCTGACCTACTGACGATATCCCAGTGGTGTGAGAACTGGTTGATGACCCTCAACGAAAACAAATGCATTGTACTCAACATTGGCACCATCAATCCATTATATGATTACGAACTTAACGGCATAACTTTGGTATCTACCGATGAACAGAGAGATCTTGGCGTTGTTGTAACCAACAATTCGAAACCAATATATCAGAATGCATCAAACAAGTTAACTCAGTGGCCTATCTGACGAAAAAAGCATTCAAGGACCACTCAGTCACTACATCCCTACAAATATATGTCATTCATCAGACCCATGCTAGAGTATGCTCAGTCAGTTTGGAATCCTTACTATGCCAAGGACATTGACGCATTGGAAAAAGTTCAAAGAAGAATCCCTAAAATTCCACCAGAAATTCGAGAACTCACATACGAAGACCGTTTGAAGCGGTTCAACCTAACAACTTTACGTGACAGGAGGTCAAGAGGGTATTTAATTACAACCTATAAAATCCTAAGTGATTACTACTCTGTCAACATGAATATATATACTCTAAGTGACAACCACAACCTTCGAGGACACTCCAAAAGATTGGAGAAAGAGAGATGTTCTAAACTCCTCAGAAGAAATTTATTGTGCAACAGAGTGGTCTATACGTGGAATTCGTTGAGCGAAGAAACAGTCGCAGCACCCAATACCCACTCATTCAAGAATAGATTGGATGGCGACCTCGGTTTATTATCCAACACACTGGTTCATTATCCTGTATAATCCATTGAACACAACTTCGGAATCGAGAGTATACAGCAGTTCCATGGGTTTTACCGCTTACTGTTGTTTAAATATTTCCATTATTCAACTCGAATTAATACACCAAGATTTTCAATAAAGACAGCAACCAGTTTCTAAATTTACCAAATGTATATTAATTTTTCAGCTCCACATCGCCTCAGCAAACGGTTACATTTCGGTTGTTACTTTCCTTTTGGACAATGGAGTGCGGACAGATGTCAAAGATAAAGATGATTGGCAACCCTCTCATGCGGCAGCTTGTTGGGGACATGTAAGTATTGCCTTTAAAATACTGAAAATTATTTAAATATAAAACTATATTCCTAGATTGACGTTTTGGAATTGTTAGCACAAGCTGGAGCAAATTTGAATGCGAAAAACAAAAACGAAGAAAGTCCGTCGGGTATTTAATTACATATTTTTAAAATATTTGGCAAAACTAAATTCCAAGTGTTTAGATATTTGCGAAGATCCGGAAATTAAAGAACGAATTCTGGAGCTAAGGACGGAACAGGAAACCAAGAGGCAAGCGGAAGCCAAGAGAAAAGTAAGAAGATCACAAAGCAATACTCGCACTCAATCTGTTCGAAGGACTTCGTTGAGAGATAAAGGGTTAACTGCTAGAAGGGACGCTGTCGAAGAAAGGTTAAGGATGCAGGCTGGTTCTGGAAATGTAAGTATTATAGTTTTTGCATGCTTGTGGAATGTATGTAGGTATGTAAAAAAACTCAATATATTTAGTTACTAGAGAGAAAACAAAAACTACTATAAATCTCTAGATCGTTTTATGCAAGAAATACCGCTATAATTACAGCATTAATAAAAGTCATAATTAGTTGGAAATTAATAATCAACACGAATAATAATAATTTAGCAGTGAGTGAGTGCACATCTGGGGTAAGAATAATATAGGAAAGTGATTCAATCAAAAATGCATCGATAAAAACTTTATAATCAAGACGTTGCCGCCGCAGAAAAACATTCTTAAAGTGAAACCTACGTGCGTAAATTAATTTATTTTTATGTAATATGATTTTATAACAAACAGAACTTTGTTTAGTTTTGGATGTTCACTTTGTTGTTGTATGGTGGTGTGTCTGTGTTGGGCTGGGGATTAATTATGAGAAGGAGGAAAACGGCTGTTGTGTGTTTATCTTACAAGGTAGATTTTTATACTTCAAAATAAAACTCTTTAGATTTTTGATGCTGCAGAAATGTAATTTCCAAACGTCTTCAGGAATAATAGAATTGTACATTTTTTCAAATTCAAACATTTTATTCATTTGTCTTGAACAATAGCTCAAAAATCTAGCAATTGCTGGAGAATAATAATTTCTAAAAAAATGCGTGCATGTAGGTATTGTTTTCTAATGTATTCACAAAAATTCTAATTAGAATTTCTAATTATTGGATCGCATTTGTAAGAGCACGCAAGTTTGTTATGACAATATGTATTTCATAATACCTTGAAAAGGATAGCAAACTGATGGTTCCTCCAGAAAATCTACTGTGAATATTTTCTCTTTTTCAAGTTGAAAATGCATTAATTATATATCTGGCCCTAGAAAAATCCATACACCAAATTTTAATTGCCATTGACCGCAGTAAATTGAATTCATAGTTTTGACTTGGTTCAATTTCGATTACTTTGGGATACTTGTACTCGATTGCATTATGCCTACGTTATATTTAGTTCAACTTACTATGTATAAAGGAATTATGAGTTGTATTTCCATGTGAGGACGCGTGGGCAGCCTCTTCTTAAAAGCAATACCATCATATTGTTATGGCACATAACATTAAACAGACTTCAAGTAATTAATATTATCAAATTCTGAGATTGAACGATTCATAAAACCTAAGCTTGGTTAATAACTTAGACAAATGAAGTATGTTCAAAAATAATTATTCCTAATGGAAATCAGAACAGCAAAAGAAAAATACTACAAAGACAAATGTGAGGAGATATAGAAGAAGACAAAAAAATATGATAGCTTCACAGTACATGCTTTAAAAGGTAATGAGCTGATTTGAACTCAAAAAAAAAGGTAACCTGCTATTCTATATTGATGGAAATTGAAGAAAAATTAATAACTTGGACAGAATGTATTGAAGATCACCCTCAAACTAGCGGACCAGAAACAACTAGAAAAGTCATATACACTGTCAACTTAGAAAGTGGTAAATATCCAATTAGTGAGTTGCTCAGGAAAAACTTAAAGCTCATTGATGAAAATCACATATCTATTTCAGTGAACCTGTTTTGCGGTTTACGATTCAGGAATCATACCAGAGGAATGACTTACATATATCAACTTTTGTTAGAATGCGAAAATTTGAAGAGAAACTTGTTTTTCTTATTTGGGTTTTCCCAACTAACCGATTTTTGGTCGGCCTATTGACGGTCAGTACTAATACAGCAACATGTTGTTTACTGCTGTATCCAAGTGTTAGACGGCGTCACGACCAAAAGTCTCCCATCATACTGGTTACTCAGAATTTCAAGAAACTTGTTGACACTGGGGTAGAATTTAAATAGTATCAGTGGTGGCGATATGTATAAGCGGATATAAGCGATGCTTCAGGGCCGATCGATATACTTAACTGGTACATTCCTTCCAGTTGCCATCGCAAAAATATTGAAAAATTACATGAGAAATTCCATAAGTCAGCATAGGCTGCATGGTCTTTCCATTTTATCTATCAGACATAGCAGAGCATCCAATAAGGATATTCAGTATCTAGTTGCTCCAGAAAAATTATCCAACGGATAAAGAAGCCATAGATAGTCAAAATTTGAGCTATTAGCGGCTCTTGATTCTCTGGAAAACTTTCCTGGAGCAAATCAAGAGCCGGTAATAGTCAAAGTTTGAACTTTTATCAATTCTGGATTACCTAGAGAATTGTTCTAAGGGCAGTCAAAACTCAAGAGCCGATAATAATCAAAATTTCAAATGATCATTAGCAGCTCTTAAGTTGATATTAATCAAAATTTCTTCTTCCGCAGCTTCTAATTGGCTCAAGAAAAATTATCCAATGGATCAAGTGCCACAGATAATCAACATTTAAACTATTAGCGGCTCTTGATTCTCTGGAAAACTTTCCTGGAGCCAATCAAGAGTCGGTAATAGTCAAAATTTGAACTTTCATCAACCCTGGATTCCCTAGAAAATTGTTCTAAGGGCAGTCAAGACTCAAGAGCCGATAATAATCAAAAGTATATAGTATATTACATACTTACCTAGGTGGGAAGTGTTCCACTCCCTGTTGAGAGATTAGTTAGTTAATTGAAATTCGGATGGGGTATAATAGATCAACCACATACAAGGGGCAGTAATATAAAACGGAGTGCCTCATTTTCGTTTTCCTAAACTTGTGAAAACTTTGTACAGGGTTATTGGTTATAAATGTCATCCCCTCTATCTTTTTTATTTGACATTTTAGAAAAAAGTGTCCCAAATAAAAAATTTATGGTCGAAATTAAATTTTTTGAAAAACTCACTTTTGCATATACAGGGTGTTCCAAAAAAGCTGGTCGTGCTCCAACTTTCTTATTTTAAATTGAATACCCTGTATATTATTCAATATTCGGATTCTACATCAAATTCTGAGCAGATTTCATGTGATATACCCTATACGTAAGTTTAACTGTTTTGGAAATATTGACAGTTGAAAATTGACTTTTTTGTAAATTTGACAGGCTGTAAAACCTAAACGGTTAACTTTTGAGCAAAACCAATCTTAAATTTTTTTCTAAGATTTTCACAAGTTATCATTTGACACCAACTTTGAAATTAATCGAAGATTAAATTTAATTTGAATTTTCAATCATGGATCAAATTCAAAGTTGATGTCAAATATTGGTTTCAACTGATAGTTTAAAAATATCTAAGATGAAAATGAAAGATCGGTTTTGCTCTAAAATTAACCGTTTAAGATTTACAGCCTGTCGAAGTTGCAAAAAAGTCAATTTTCAACTGTCAATATTTCCAAAACAGTTCAAATTAGGTATAGGGTATGCCATATGAAATCTGCTCAGAATTTTACGTAGAATCTGAATATCCAATAATATACAGGGTATTCCATTTGAAATAAGAAATTTGGAGCACGACCAGCTTTTTCTGAAACACCCAACACCCTGTATATGCAAAAGTGAGTTTTTCAAAAAATTTAATTTCAATCATAAAACTTTTATTTGGGACACTTTTTTCTAAAATGTCAAATAAAAAAGATAGAGGGGGGGGACATTTATAACCAATAACCCTGTACAATCTGTCAACGCCGGATGGTGTTCACCAGGAATGACCCCCAAATATGAAGAGCTTAAAATAACAGATAGACCCGTCTTTGGTATCTATTAATTCAAGCACCTGAATTTTTGAGAATGGAATTTGAGCAGGAAATGGTAAACTCATTATAAGCGCCAGGCATAGGACAGCACAGCACTGGTCAGATTATTTTTCTATGGATTTTGAGCCGGAATTCTCTGAAAATTAAAAAGAAAATTACCTAAGCATTTAAGTAGCTTAGGAGAAGTAGGTCACATCAGAGCGAGTCAGTTGAAAATCAGACAATAAGTTGAACGAGTCGATAATGAGACAATTTATTTGGTTTAGTTTGAATCTTTTAGCTCATTATTGAAAAAGTTGTGACACTTTCAAGTTGAATTTGTTTATAACTTATTTATTATTAGAGCTACAACATCGAATCTTCTTGTAGCCAGAATTCCATATTCTTCCTATAGATAGAAATTGAGATTTCTATGGATTTTTTTTTTGTGAAGACTTACCTAGTATATTCTAACTGCCATCCAAGACAATTATTATTCTTTCTGGATACATTTTAATTTTATGAGTTTTGTAGGGTTTGGAAAACAACGACATATCTTCCGCAACGATTGCCAATCAGAACAACACTAGATTTAATAATATATCCAACAATAACAACATCGATTACAATAACAGCACAAACAACAATACTAGCAAACTAAAGGCTGAGTTGGACTCGAACACTGGCGCTTTGGCCACTTTGGATCGGAGAGATCCTGAAGGTAGAGACAACGAATCAATGTTGGATAACAATAGCATTCTCGATTCTAAAGGAAAATCTTATACTACCGATGTAAATGGAAAGGTAAGATGCTAACTTGTTTTAAAACTTTTCAAACTAAATGTAGACAGTCATATTATTTACCATTCTCTCTATTGTGCTAAAGAAGATACCTATTTATTTGATATGACTGACTTGTCTAGTTTTATTTGAATCCAACTCGAAATAAAACGTGGACTATTTAAATCAATGAAATCAAACTTTTGTTTGCAATAACATCAACTAATAATAATTTTGAAATAGTAGTCCATGTCTCACAGTGAAGAGAATAGTTAAAGAACTGGAGTAAAACACACAGTCTATCTTCACTCTTCATTTTACAAAAATATAATCAGTTGGAAGGGGGGTTGAACATGTTTCGGATCTATCATAGATCCATCATCAATATAAGTTCTACAAGTTACAAAATATGGGAGTTAGGGGGAGGGCCTGGGGTGTATACATCAAAAACTTACCAAATAGCAGAGGGAAATATGGTTATATACGATATGTCTAAGTGTAATAGTTATACATAAAAATGTAAGTGTTCATGCTGTTATCAGTATAAAGTTGGTTGCTAAAGCCGCATCCAACAAAGAACATATTTACAAAACTGGAAGAGAGGAAGCCTATGAGTACGATTTCGAAAATTATGTCAAAGTTTAACTTACCAAAGGTGAAGATCGAAAAAAATTATTTTATTATTAACATTGGAAAATTAAAACTGGACTGCCACACAAACACAGAATATGCCTATAGGAGGCGGAATTTTGGACACTCATCTGTACTCTGGATGTTCGTGGGTGTTGGCTGTTAATTTAATTTCAAAATTTCTTATGAAAGTCGTGCTTTCTGCGCGAGGAGTAAGAATGTAATGGAGATGAGGAAGAAGATGGTGGCACGAAATTAGTAAAATTAGCTGCATACAAAAAACTTTGAAAATTCCACAAATGCAGCTAATTTTACTAATTTCCTTTACTCCTCGTGCAGAAAGCACGACTTTCATAAAAAAAAATTGAAATTAAATTAACAGCCAACACCCACGAACATCGAGAGTACAGATGAGTGTCCAGAATTCCACCTCCTTTAGGCATATTCTGTGTTTGTGTGGCAGTCCAGTTTTAATTTTCCAATGTTAATAATAAAATATTTTTTTCGATCTTCACCTTTGGTAAGTTAAACTTTGACATAATTTTCGAAATCATACTCATAGGCTTCCTCTCTTCCAGTTTTGTAAATATGTTCTGTGTTGGATGCGGCTTTAGCAACCAACTTTATGCTGATAACAGCATGAACACTTACATTTTTATGTATAACTATTACACTTAGGCATATCGTATATAACCATATTTCTCTCAGCCATTTGGTAAGTTTTTGATGTATACACCCCAGGCCCTCCCCCTAACTCCCATATTTTGTAACTTGTAGAACTTATATTGATGATGGATCTATGATAGATCCGAAACATGTTCAACCCCCGTTCCAACTGATAAATTTTTGCAAAATAAAGAGTGAAGATAGACTGTGTGTTTTACTCCAGTTCTTTAATAATAATTTTATTAGGTGACAGTTCATGTGGTTGTGACAATAAATGGCAATGGCACGTTGGCAGACCTGAAAAAGCAGCGAATGCAAATAAGGAACAGCAGCAACGACGTCAGCTTTAGCAATGATATTAGTTTAACTTCACCTGTTGGCAGTGTCGATTTAGACGAAAACGATTCTATTATTAGCCCAAATGGTAATCCAACTGATGTTATTCGTTTCACAGGGGATACTACTCTGGAGAATGTGGATTATGGTAAATCCAAACGGTGTTGCGTTATACAGTGAAAATTTAGTTCGATAATTTGTTTAAATTAGGAGATTATTAATTATGAAGTTCCATAGTTCCAAGTTCCATCCAATAAGAGTTTTCTTAAGCAGGATATTGTTAAGGATGTTCCCCTGTAACGGTGAGTGCGATTAAATTTGATGAGACGCAATTTCATCATATTGAAAGCAAAGGTGTAAAGTAGCCATAGCGGTTTACGCCACACATAATTAACTAGTTGCTAAGTACCAAAACCACTCTGCAAAAACCCCCAAGCTCATTATCAATTGAAAAGTAACCGTCATGCATCATTGTATGTCTGAGTTTAATATTTACAATTTGTATATCATTGCAAGCAGAAGCTATACTTATAGCTTTTTACTGAGAGAAACTGTGAATTTGCAAACTCAAAAGTTTTGTTGTTGACTTAGTTTTGAATCCCTATTTTCCAATGATTCATTTGAGTTGGTGCAGGGTCTTCCCTGAGTATTATTTTCATATACATAATTGGATTTGGTTTAACTATTGCAAAGACGCCTTTAGATGGCAAGTCAGGTGATTTCTATGTTGGTTATGAAACCTAAGTATACTGAACTTTCCACTTACCTCGCTACTCTCCGATATCAACGAAATAATAAACTTAGAATATGTTTTAATAATATCCTGCATAAAGAAACATATACTGTGTACGTCCAAACAATTTTAATTTATACAACAAAAGCACATGTGTACTTTTCTTACCCAATATGAAAACAAGGTTGTGTCTACTATTTCGTATCCTCTTACACTGTCCAAAAGTTTTAATTTTAATTGTGTACTGTGTCAATTTTAATTCCTAAAGTCAATTTTTTTTATGAATTAATTCTTAGATTTTTTAAAACGTAGTGCAAATCTAAGCACTAGTTCGATCAGTATTAAACTTGTTCTCTATATAATTCCCTAGCTTAAAAAATTATCTAAAAAAAATTAGCTTATTACTATGTAGTTGGTAATTTTTGATATAAGTATTTGAAAATTTCAACATCATTACAACATAAAAGTATTGTATTTTTATAGAGAATTTTTAGAGGTAAAATATGAAATGTGGCTTAGTTACATTTCATATTTACATTAGATTTTTTAAATCATATAAAATTTTATCTTTGTTCTTAGTAAAGCACACCTTTATATTAATGTTAGTCAAATTTGCTACAGAAAAGAAAGAAAAAGTACCCGCCTGATTACTAATATCTGGTGTGTTATTAAATGCACAAATTATTTAGGAAAATATGTGGTTGGTAAAACTGCTTTTCTATACAACTGTTAGAAAATGTAGAAATCATTATAACCACATAAAATAATTCTCATATTTACCATAATTATTCTAGCAAGAAAATATCACACATACACACATAATAATAATAATTATTATTGCCCCTACTAGACCTAAGATTAATATTTAAAGCAAATATTTTTATTATAGGTATATAAGCGTTACCCAGAACTGTTTTCTTATACATTCCAAAATATGTGATAGATTTAATAATTTTATGTAAATTTTAAGAATGTACTTAATTTTTTTGCGCCTTTTTAGTGCCTCACATGGAGCAATATTTATTATTGATGATTATAGCTTTATGGCAAAAGAAATATAGTTTCCAAATTGCGTTTGTGATTGAAAGAAATTGGTGGCAAATTATTTATAAACAGTAGTAGTTCAATCTTTTGTTGAAAATAATTTTTCCTTTATCTAGGCAAAACTAGGTATTTTGAAATCATCTGATTATTTAATATTGAAAAGGCTCAACAGCAAAAGTCCTGTGACTAGCAAGGTGTGACTACACAGGCAGATTTTGGCCTGTCATCATTGTAAGAGGCTTTTCCTAAAACTTCTTATGCCTCTTTCTGAAAACTAAGTAGCTACAGTTTCAAGATGATTTTTTTTTTCAAGTGGGCCACTTCTTACAGGCTATGTTGGCCTTCATTTTTAGATGTCAGTATAAAATTAAGACTCTTTTTTGGTGAAGGATTTTTTATAAGGTCTGTTGAAACCTTGCTCAAAACCATTGAAAGAATCTTATGGTGATGAGGAAGAACAACTACTAGCCTCATAAGGCCATCGATATTTAAACTTTATTGATACCTACCTACCTATTTTTTTTTTTTTGGAAATATTTACTGCCTGCCATTTATCATTTTAAATTTAGCTCCTATTAATTTTAAATAATTTTTGTTTCCAAAAAAAAATATACTTTTTATGTCAGGTTTTAATAGAATTTTTAGATTGCATGAAAAAATGTGAAAGGAAACAACAAATTTTACTGAATATATATACGTAGTTATTTTCGCAAAACCATTTTATTTATCCAATAATTCCCATTACACATTTTTTTCCATAATACCTACATGGAGTTTCTTAACAAATAAAGCATATTTTTTTGAATGTTATGAAATTGTCAAAAAATACCCAAACTTTATCTGATGGTTAAACAATCTAGTCCTTAACATGTTAAATGCATTTTCAAAATGGTGCCAACTAGTTTTTTGATTTAATTAGTAAGCCACTCTAAAATAAAAATAAACACAGACTAGAAACACAAAAGTTACTAATTCTTTTCTTCCTTCATCTGAACTTCTTCCACTTCTGTAATAGTGTCCTTCTTATCCACTTCATCTTCTTTCTTCTCCTTTCTAATTTCCTTCTTAATTTCATGATCTTTTTTAATGTCATCTTTTCGGCTATCTCTTTCCTTTTCCCATCTTGATTTTCCATCGTCTCTGTCTTTTTTCTTGTCATCTCTATCCCTCTCTTTTTTTTCTTCTTTGTGTGAAGCCGACTTTAATACTGGTTCGATTCTATCACGAATATCCAATAATGCTGTTTGAAACAATTTTGTATGAGCCTAAAAACAAAAATATTAATTACTAAACATAGGAGGACTATCCATTGGGTGTAGTTGATTATTTATGACATATTGGAATACCCTGCAAATGCTTGAAATGCCTCACTAGTTTCAGTGGGGTGAGATAGGTAAGAAAAGTTTCAGATCTGGCAACCGCTGTGCCCCTTTGAGTTAAGATAGTATATGAGACGAGTTCGGTTAATCCTCCGTGAGGTAAAAGATGACAGTGTTGACAGAAGCTCACGTGATCTTCCATTTGAAGTAATAAAACTGATCACGTTGGGTTGGTCATCTTTTTGCTCGCGGAGGATTAACCGAACTCGCCTATGGGTAGACGACTCCAAAAAGCCCGGGACACAAATTTTTTTGGCCCTACAGCTGCGATGATGACGTAATCAATACGGCCCCCAATTTTTCTGTGACATGGTTGTACATTTCCCTATATAACTCGAGTTGGTATTCTGGTATATATTCTGATAACAACCTATATTATTAGTGATTATTAATCATCATTTACGCACATAATACTAAATAACCTGGAATCCGTTATATTTGGCTGAAAATGTGACGTATACTTTTTTGTGAGTGGAAAAAACTTTCGAACGGTATAATAATATATAACTTCTATTTTCATATATAATACCACAAGAGAAAAAAATTTGTTGGCAAAATTTTCGACTGGTATGAAAGTTTGTTGCTTGGCAATTTCGCGGATGAAATTTTGACATTTTGACAAAACATGGACAAAACCACGAGCCGTCAGGCGAGTGGTTTGGTCAAAAATTTCATGAGCGAAATTACCAAAAAGCAACAAACTTGAATAAAACCAAGAGAATAATTTTGCCTACATAATTTTTTCTTGAGTGGTATTCGGCTGGACTATTTCACGAGAAAAACAAGCCAAATTTTCATTTAAAAAAATTATTTTCTTTAGGTGACACTTGTCAAACTCAATAGTTTTTTACATTAACCATACAAAATTTTGTCGCTGAAAAACCATCATGTTGGTTTTGTCCAGGTAGGAACAGGTAGGAGTTTTGTCAGTAGGAAACCGGCCGTTCCTATGACATTTTGCCAGTGTAAAACCACAGCATATACAAAAACAATCAGCAGGCTAACTCTCACGCGCATCTTTTCTGCGCACGTTGCCATTAGGGGATGCCACCCTGTCATTTAACGGCAGGGACGCCGACATTTTAATTTATTTGTTTATTTCTGACGGAGGTCATAGGCGTGCGGTGCAGAGCGGAATTTTAGTTATGATTTTCAAAGTGATTTTAGTATATTCGTGTTGTCATTTATGGTGTTATCAGTTATCATTCTTGTATGCTTAAAAATAATAATAAATTAGTAAGGACAAATATTATTATATGTAATTAATATTAAATTAGTTTATTTAAAGCCAATACGACTTTGTGACCCGAAAGAAAAAATCTAAACTATTGTTAATTAGGTCCTGTCTCGTATCCCAAAATGGCCGCTGGTGACATCCCGACAATGAATTCCTTTATTAGACTGGCTGTCACTCAAGTTAGGCTGCTGATTGTTTTTGTATATGCTGTGGTAAAACACTCTAGTGAAATAGTCTAAACAAAAGTTGCTGAAAATTTGTCAAAACAATGTAGTATTGCACAGCAAGTTGTTATGGCAACAATGTAATTTGTGCGGGTTCCAGAAAGTAATAGAGCGGCTTTTTAAAGAAATTACCCAATCATGTCATAAAAGAGGAAACATGAATTCGTTGATGCTACGACTGAAATAGTGGTGGTTGCATTTGTATGGGACCTGCATTTGTTATTCCAGAAGCATTCAAAAGAGCGTTTGATTCTCCCGAAGTATGAACCATGGCAAAGAATCTTGCAATTTTTGCTGAACATGGTCAGCTTCCAAGTGGTATAAGAAATTTGGACCAGTTGAACGATGGACGTGGTCTTTCACAATCACTAGTAACCCATGCAGCAAAATATCACTTGTGAAAAGAAACCGAAAAAGCATCCACCTTGCTCAGACCAAATTCCATCTACATCAAAATTTACAAAATTATCATTATTTTGTTCAGATGTGAAAAACGTGTCTGTTTTGTGATGAAGGAGAAGGTAAAGACAAACTTGTGACTGCATCCATGCTGGGTATCGGGACTAAAATTCATAGTCATGATGAAAATGTGTTGAAGAAGTTATTATCAACAGATTTTGTAGTATTAGAAGCCAAATACCCCAAACTATGCTATACTCGCTGTGCAATACGTTCATGAGCTGCTGAACGTTCTCAAAGAGAAGAATACTATAATCCTGAAGAAGTTGTTTACGGTGCAGTTATAACGGAATTGGTTTAATACATGCAGGATTTATACGCATCCAGCAGTATTTTTACAGTGTTTAAACTTTCTTATGTTACAAAATTAGTGTCTGAGCACATGACTGACATGGGAATTCAAACTGACGAAAAGAATATCAATTTAACACGTCTCAAGGAACAACTATTAGCATTTGCACCTGGTCTGAGAGCAGATAAGTCTGGGCGTGAAATTATTTCAAGTTTCAAATGGGATGTTGGCGAACCCATTCGCAATGCCTGTGCCTTCAATGACTTCAATGATGGTATTTGTCTGGAACGGGCGGTAGGTATATCACGAAGACAACTCTTTCAAGAGTTTCCTAAATTTGAAGGGTCCTTTGACTATGCATTTACTGCTTCCACATCTGTACCTGCCGTTCTTATTAATTTGTATGTATGTTATTAGAGGGTCCCAATGTTGACTCTGGTGTCGCACCAGAAATACCTGCAGCAAATAATGCACGATTGTCAATTGCCCAACTTATTAGATATAACAGCATCAAACAACATGCCAGAAAAGAAAATGTTGAGTGTACGTCACTCTCTGGAGAGAGAAACGCCACTCCCACTATATGTAGGTCTCATGATTCACGGTGTCACTAAAAAAAAATATTTGAAACATCAGCAATAAACAACATTGACCACAATCAAATCTTCTTCTGCTACCATTACTTCTTTCCATGGTTCAAGTGTTATGATTATTCAGCATCCTCACAGTGATACAGTTATGGAGATTGACAATGACAGCGTGCGAATCCAGCAGAGGAACAATCAAATTTTCAATGGCCTCCCTTAATATTACACTACTCTTCCTGCAACTAGTAAAGTTAGAAGTGACCCTCCTATATACATATATTGTCAACTAGCTTAATAATGGTTACAGCAAAATTAAATGGAAATCAAGCTCCCGTGATTACATGTGACGAACCAGTATATGCTATTGGGAAGCAACTGCAATAGAAGTTTTCTGACAAGTATGGCGAGGATTGCATCATATTATGGGTGGCCTTCACACAGAAATGATGGTCATTAACTCACTTGGCAAGTGGTTAACTGGCAGTGGATGGACTGAATTAGTGACAACTGCTGGTATTGCAAGTTCTGGTGTTGCAGAATCCTGCCTCACATCGTCGCATGTAAAAAGATCTGGGTATGCACACGAAGTTACTTTAACTGCCTTGCATTGTCTACAGGTAAACGCATTCAATAAAACATGCGAAACAAATTCCAGCATCAGTGGACAAGGCATTGAACTGTGGATTTTGTCGAAAACATCTGAATGTCCTGATTTCCTGCTTCCAAGTGGATGGTAGCAGGCCCTAGGATTAGTTCTTTAATTGAGGAATTTAAGGAGAAATCAAATTTAAAAGATAACAAAAACGTGGGCGCGTAGCATCATGAGGATAACAATGCATCTGAAAAAAGGTTTTTGGCCCATGTTAAAAAAATGATTGAAGTCTTAATCGAACAAGAAAATCCGTTTGAAGAAACCGATTTGGTATCAAGGTTAGGGAGCTCCAAGCTAATTCCAGGTGTCGAAGCTGTGAAGTGGGTTTGAAAAGCATTATTTACTTTAGGACTGAAGCAGTATGATGAATATGTCTTATTCCGTCTCGATGAAGTTCAAAATTCAATCCATGAAATTATTCCACGGACCAATATTCACATCTTCAAGACTATTACAAGAAAAACAGACAAGTCAAAGTCCAAGATTGCTATCTTGCGTAAAGATTCCAACTTGTTCTACAGATTGTATGTCGCATCTGAAGCACGGGATGGCAACATTAATGAGTTCTTTTCGCATGAAAATCAAATGAACCCACTATTCCAGATGATGGAAAACTTCGCAAACTAACGAACAAGTCGGATGTCGGATGGACTGCATTCAAAAAAAATGTGACATTAGTTTTAATCCTAGCCAACCGAATGTAACAGCTAAAATATTTGATGGAGCAGCTGTAATCACATATGTGTTAAAATGGGAATGCCTTGTACGAAACTCTGTGTATGTGAAGGACAGTGCTCCGAGAGTGATTGGTGATCACAATTAAATACATTATTTGGATTATATTGAATATGATGTTATTATATTTGGCTAATAAACTGGAATAATATTGTTATCCCTAAAGCGTGGCCCATGTTACTGATTTTGGAATGGAAATGAAAGTTTCATTATCCTAAAAAAGCTAGAATTCATTTACATAAACATTTTTGGCAGATTTTCAGCAACTGTTGATTAGAAAATAACAGTTAGGTACATATATACAGGGTGTACAAGATAAGAATGTCTATCCATGGGGATCTCGTAAACAGTAATAGATATGGCAATGCTTAAATGGGAAAAAAGATTATTTAATGAATAACAAAATGCATTCAACAAATTTTAAAAAAATTGACATATTTGAAAAAAATAGTATATTATATACCTAGGTAGAGAAGTTGGTCATTATGACTTTCTCTACCGAGGAATATATAGAATTTTTTTTACTACTGCTAGTAAAAAATAAAAAATTTGTTTAAAATCTGTTCTAATTATTTTTTGTGAACGCCCTCTTGAAAGTGCTGCCCTCTATTAACAGCTTATATAACTTCCTATGTACCTACAGAAACCTGCATTTTTTTTTCAAATTGACGTATGAAATTGAAATTGAACCAATAGAAACATGACAATATCCTTGCGTCATGACGTCATTTTCATTATTAACCTAGGTATTTTTTCATTATTTTCATTATTAACCTAGGGAGAGAAATTCAATTTTTTCTTAGAAAAATAGATTGAATAATGTCTATTTCTCAGGTTGGTAGTAAAAAAAAAATATATATCTTCGGAAGTTGTCAGAATTTTTGAAATTTGTTGCATGCATATTGTTATTGTTAGTCATTAAATAGCGAAACTTGTTTCCCATTTAAGCATTACCATTTACGAGATCCCCATGATAGACATCCTTTTCTTGGACACTCTGTATACCGTTCGAAAAGTGTTTTCACGCACAAAAAAGAATACTAGTTTTAAGCTACATATAACAGATTCAAAGTTAGTTAGCAAAAGTATTGTTCATGAAAATCGAAAGAAAAATCAACATTTCATTAAATTTGCAAGTACCTATTTCTGGTATTATGTACCTAAATGATGATGTGCAATATACTGTTAGAATAATCATCACTAATAATATAGATTAATATCAGAATACAAACTCGAGTTATATAGGGAAATGTAGAATCATGTCCCAGAAATTAGGAGGCTTTTTAGACTCGTGTACCCATGTACTATCTGAACCCAAAAAGGCGCATGGGTTGCCAGACGTAAAATATTCTGGTATAATTTTCAGCTGCCTCACCCCACTACCTTTTTTATGGTTATGTATTGAATTTAATTTTACTCTATATTATTGTATTACTTAATTAAATCCTAAATTGTAATAATAATAATATTAGCAAACATAATTTTTTTGAAATTCTCAAGTTGTACCCCACACAAAATCTCAAAAAAGAAAATAAAATCCTAACTTTTACTGAGTTTAATGATTTTTTTAACCCTTCATCCCCTACTCATTTCAAAACCATATTCTAGAACAGCTTGTTAAGTTCCTGTTGAAAAATGGTAATAGAACCCTATTTAAAATCTCGAGAGACCCTTTTTTTTTTTGGTAACAGGCATGAGAAAAAACTAACAGATACGGAATGTGTTAGAAAATATGAAGATATTACTGCAAAAGTGGAGCGTAAAAATGCCCCAATTGTACAAAACTAATGAAATTAAATTGTTCACATTTTGAAATGTCTAGTGTTATCACAGAAGACTACAACAACTTCTGAGTAACATGAATTACTCGGAGTTGAAGTCAAGTAGGTTCAATATAGCATATATCCCTCTTATCAGATTATGATGTGTAAAACTTACATTTGATCTTCCTAAAGCATCCTCACAAGTCCTCAATTTGTCTTTAAATTCTTTCACTTCCGAATTTAAATGTTTGATAGTTGAACTCGACTTTGAATATTTGTCGGTAAGCTTCTGATTTTCGTTTTTCAAATCCACCAAATATTGTTCAGTTTCAATTCGAGCCTTCTCACTTCTATCAAGTTGTATTAGCAATTTACCAACATCAACTACCGCACCGCGATATACCACAAGTCCATCATTTGGGTCAGATACTGATTGTTCAGTTTTAGTTTGCGAGTTGAATATGGGCAAAAATTTTCTATTACCCAAAGCCAACTCATTCAAATTTATTTCAGTTGCTGCAGGCTTTTCGACTGCCACTTCATTTTCAGCTTTTTCTTCTTCTTTAGGTTTATCAGTTAACTTGCGGTAATACAAGTTATCTCTGGCAACTGCTTTGTTTAGAATTTTTTTAATTTGAGATCTTGACAAACTCAGACCTAAAAAATTATTGAGAAAATTAGATTTATTAAGACGAACTAATAAAACTTTACCTAAAGTATAAAATAATTCTTCAATGTCTTTGTCAAAGATATAACCACAATGAGTTTGGTCAAAGTACACAAAAGACAATAATAAATGTTTATCTTTTGTAATCAATTTTACACGGTCCTTCTTCTTTTTGTCTTTACTTTTTCGGCTTGATGTATCTTCATCATCAGTTGATTCAGATTTTCTCTCATCTCTGTCTTTCTTTTTATCGTCATCTTTTTTAGGTTCACTAAAATATATATCTTTAAATTAATATTCGCTGTTTTTTGTTTTAATATGCTTAACCTTTCTTCCATTTTAGTTTCCTCATCCCCATCTTTTTTCTTATCATCCTTCTTCTCGTCTTTCTTTTTCTTTTCATCTTCCTTTGGTTTCTCGGGTAATTCAATTAAAGCTTTGAAAATATTGAAACCAAAATCTCTCATCAGCATCTCATTAAAAAGTTCGGCAAAAAGAGAAACCTAAAAGCACAATAATGGATGTTAAATTAACATCAAATATGTATGGAAACCCACCTCAAATGTATGCTCCTTAGTATCCTCTAGACGATAGTCTAATAAAAGAGACAATGACATAGAAGTACAGTCAAATTTACCACTCTTGGCGGTTTTCGATGGGTGTATAATAAGATGTGGTTGGTCAGGTAGTGTGTACTGTTTTTCTAGGCGACGTTTTTGAACTTCATCCAGCTTTTTCTCTTCAGGCTATTAAATTAATTGGATTAAAATGCAAAAAAAAAACAGTCAAAAATTGGCATATGACATGGAAATAGAGCTAAGGCATATTGTTCCAAAGGACTGAATCCAAGAAAAAAAGAATAGGAGTAATAGGATATATTGGTATTTGTTCTCACATCAAAAGGTGCTGAGTTTTATCCTTGAAGTGGATACATACAGTGAGAACATAAAGTCCGTCGCCCCCCCTCTAACTTTTGAACCGCTCGGTATATTGCAATGAAATTTGGAACGATGATATGTGACAAGATTCTCCATTTTTTGAAAAACAAATCACAGCTTTAGCTGTCAAAATGACACCTGGGCGCAGTTTTGAAACGTTTTTCCAAATAGAAGGTGGTGTCGAGTAATATATCGTTTTAAATATCTCTTTATTCTTAATTTAATCCCCGATTCTGAAAACATTTGGTTCAGCGGTTTTCAAATGTTGACGAAAAAACAAAGGCTTGTTTTGATCATAAATTTTTTTTCAAGTAATTGAATCATTATTTTATGATTACTTTTGTTTTTTTTTAAGTTACCAATGTCATTACGTCATTATTATTACTGAAAAAAAAAGAATAATAAATAAAAAACGGATAAAAATTTCTTTTAATTTTTTTTATGAGTGTTTATAAGCAAAACAAGTGTTTGTTTTTTCGTCATCATTTGAAAACCGCTAAACCAAATGTTTTCAGAATCGGGGATTAAATTAAGAATAGAGAGACCTTTAAAACGATATATCACTCGACACCGCTTTCTATTTAAAAAAACGTTTCAAAACTCCGTCCAGCTGTAATTTTGACAGCTAAAGCTATCATTTGCAATTCAAAAAATGGAGAATTTGCTCACATATCATCATTCCAAATTTCGTTGCAATATACCGAGCGGTTCAAAAGTTAGAGGGGGAGCGACGGACTTTACGTCCTCATTGTATACATATACATGGATTTGTGATGCAGTGCATTTCAATCATTTTAACATTGAAAATGTTTGCCTTATCATGGTATGGGGGCCCAAACCAAGAAAAAGTGCATGCTATATTTGCAAATCACCTACATGGTCAGTCGCTAACCCTCCTGCCCCCCGATTCTCAACCTCTAGTCGCAACCTATCGACCCCGACTTCCCATTGCTTTTCTACAAGGAGTCGGGACGTTACGTATCGACTTAACCAATGAGAAACCCGAATCCCACAGCTGTTCCATGTTCTCCGGGTACCCAGTTATGGGCCCAGTGTGACTGTTAATGAAGTAGTGTGATAATAATTGTCACTTCTAATTCAAACAAGTCTCTTATGTTGCTGAGACTACGCATTTTCTTAATCATAGCCTCCCAAAATATTTAATTCTTACCTCTGGTTTCTTTTCCTTTTCACTTTGAGCCTCTTCTTTGTCAACAGTTTCTTGCTTTTCTAAAGCATCTTTCTCCGAGCTTTCTTCTTCATTACACTCTTCTTCCATTTCAGCCTCACTCTTTAAAGCCTTAGTTAATCTCGCCACTAACTGGGCCTTCAAACCCTTAGAATCCAAATCCCTGGCCTGTAATCCAGCTCTCAATTCTGCCACAGTCATCGATTTAACATTCAGTTCAGTTAAAACAGTGGGTTCCAGTTTTTCAATGACCTCGTCATTCTAAACACACATTAAGAAAAACGAAAATTAGTTTTAGCAATCTGGAATAAGAATTAACGCTGTCACACTCTTTCAAACATTACACTCGCTCAATCGTCCATTCATACTAAGAATGAGGTTAGGCCAACCGAACTAAATCGGTTGGTTTTTGTAGAACTGGATCAGCCACAGCTATCAGCGACAGTACTGTAATACCTAGCCTATTCTCTTTTGTAATCTGCAGTATTAACTAAAAAAAAATTTGGAGTGCCTTTTCATCACTGATGTTGATAGTATTGTCGGTCTCTTCCGTGACTCCATCAGCTGCTTTCAGGATATTTTCCACGTGTTTACGGTAGCCCTGCTGCAATTCTTCCCACTCCAATCGGGTGGGTAGGCAGCTCCAGACATCCGGCAAGAAGATTACGACAGTTTCAACTCTGGCAGGTACAGCTTTGCCCTTGTGCGTAGTCGCAGAACGGCGATAATACAGCTCCACGAAGCGGTACCTATAGGTGGGAACATAGTATTGTAATGGATTAAATTTAACGTCTAGAGGAATGAACCGGGTCCTGCAAGGGACTTCAGTCTCCCAACGACCTTTAATATTATGAATTTTGTTTAATTTGGCTCCTCTCATCTCATGACCCGCAACTGTAGATTTCAATTTCTTGATTTTTTTATGTGTTTGGAGATGGTTGAATGTGGCTGCAAAATTATCTTAACTGCATCTGTTTAATATGAGTTTCAGGTTTTAAATAAATAAATCCATATACAGTGATAGATAAGAAATTAGCCATTTGTGTTGCTCTTCTCGAAATTTTCCAGAAAAACAATTTACAGGGTGGATTTCTACAAGCTAATAAACTATTTTAAATAATTGAAAACAGTCAGTTAATACTGAGCACACAGTCTACACATCAACCAGCCACAGTTAAAACATTTTGAAAATGTGGAAACAAATTACTGGAAATTTTTCCTGCCAATTATTCATTTATGCAGCAAAATTCATCAAAGACATGAAAGGATTTTAACCCGCATAACCTAACTGATAGAGTTTCAAAAAAAATCAATACTTACCACTGAGTACAATTAGAAAGGTCAATCCCAGTGAGCGCCTTGCAAGACCTGATAGCAGTTTTGATGAGCACTGAAGGGTCCTGCTCGGGGTTCTCACCATCCAGAGACGGGCTCCATGGTCCACCAATGGCCATAGTTTCATTTTTGCCCCTTAATCCCACCAAAAAATTAATTAAACGAGTTGGATGAATATTATCCTTCTCTTCACTGTCTCTATCACGACTCTCTTTTTCTTCTGACAAGTGGCAGCATTTTTGATAAATCTCTTCCATGCCAGGGACGCTCATTAGCATAACTTTAGCTGAGAATCTGTAGTCAGCATCTGCAGGCTCTAACACAGCATCATTGTTGGTAATAGAGTCCAATTCTTTATTCATAATGTGAAAAGAGCATGGCTTGTCTAATGCGTAAGGCTTATCTGCTGGAAAAGCATTCACCCAGCTCATGGAAGTATAGAAAAAATCAGACGGAATATACAAAGTGTTGTAGCGTTTTTTGACGTCTAAGACATCAGCATGGCTTCTGCAAAAAGACATTGTTTTCAATTACTCATGATGGCATAAAATGGAATCAACTTGATTAAAAATACTAGAAAACTTATATAAATTTTGTACCAAGGCAAAATTATTATTATAAAGTTATCATTCAGGCCTAGGAATATTTGTTGAAATGTATTTAAACTTACAGACTTAAACTCAGCTTAGGAATTTGCACCATGTATCTAGGAATTGCCCTACTTCTCCAAGAATTACGTGGCTTTGGCGATCTAGACCGTCTTCTCACAACAGGTGACTTTCTATCTTTTTCCTCCTTCTCCCTTTCCCTTTGTCTATCTTCCCTCCTTCTTTTCCGGTCAACTTCATCATCATCCCTATCTCGGGATCTGTTCCTCCTTTCCCCAGCGCTTGGTTTGGCTCTATCGCGGTTGCCAAAATCCCTGTTACCAGAATCGCGCCTTCCAAAGCCATTGTTGCTATCAACTTGGCTATGTCTTGGATCTCTAGGATGACTGCTGGGCATGACTTGAACTCTAGCGGCATTCCACTTGAATGGCATTGACGAATTAAAAGTGGCTTCAACAAGAACTCGATCCCCAACAACAGGATTGGAGCCTTTGATGCACACGTTTCTTGAGAAAAAGACTTCTTCATCGATGAAGCCGAAGTTTTCATGGATTTGGGTTACTGTGCCAGTAAAGACTTTTTGTTTCGTACCTAAAATAGTAATCTTTGTAAGAAATCCTCACTTCCGTGGCAATTGAAGTTTGTAATGTAAGACATTTAAAAATTACAATGCTAGCAGAGCTCGACAAGATTTATACTTTCCAAATTGTTCAATACCTAATTAGTAACTGATTAAGTTTTTTAATTTTTTTTTCAACCGAGATCTCGACTAAAATTTAATTACTAGATAGATAGATAATTTATTCAAGTAAAATAATCAACAAGTTATTTGCAAAATTACATCCCACGTAAAGACCGTGCTCCATACAATTTATTTTATCTTTCCATTTTAATGTCATTAACCCTACAAAATTTATCAATTAGCATCATTACAATTTACAGAGGGAAACTAAATTTAATTAACCTATCAAAGCAAAAGTACTTATTGGTACCTAAATAACAGAGGTATTTGTATGTACCAGATTCCATTTCTTTTTTTTTAATAAGTAATAATACTTTTTTTAATAAGTAATAAGTATTTCCTTAATATTAGAATAATTACTTAAAAAGATATTCAAATTTCTTATATTCTTTATATAAAAATTTCTTGCAGTTAATCTTAAACCTATAAATATTATTAGTCACCTTCAAACTCCTTGATAACATATTGTAGATTTTAGGACCGAGGTATGCTACACTTCTTAGATTGATGTTATTAAAATTAAACGGAATTACAATGTCTGCATTTATCTTCCCTCGAGTTTCGTATTGATGGCTTATTATGTTTTGAAGATATTTATTTTGATGGATAAATGCAGCTACCGATACCATATACAATGTTCTTATATTACATATTTCATCCGAAAAAAGTAACTCTGTAGGATACAACCTATTTTTGCCATACATAATTTTCAATATATATTTCTGCGCAACATTTAATTTTTGGAGAGCATTATCATATAATCCTCCCCATACCAAAATTCCGTACCTAATCAAAGACTCAACAAGGGTTTTGTATATAACAGTTAACATTTGTCTGCTCAAAACCTGCTTAAGCAGGTAAAATTTACGAATTAATCCACGAATTCTATTTGATAGGTACTCAATATGTGGAAGCCACTTCAGCAACTGGTCAATTATTATACAGGGATACTTTGTATGGGAAACTTCTTCAACTTGTTGATTATTGACTGTAATATTTGAGAAAGTAGGTCGGTTAGCACTTGTTAGAGCAAAAGCAATATAATTTGTTTTTTTCATATTTAGAGATAATTTGAAACTTTCCAACCAATTTTTTGTAATCTTTAAACCCTGTATCATTTTATCTTTAACATCTTCCCAAGTATTGCCGTTAAAAAGCAGTACAGTATCATCGGCGTATGATATTATAGATCCATTAACATTTAAAGAAAGTAGACCATTAATGTATGTGACAAACAAAACTGGACCAAGCACTGGTGAGATCTCTCATGAAGGTAGCGTTGAAACAATTTCCACACCGTTCCCCTGACTCCATATTGCCATAAGACATCTAGGAGTTTATCATGGGAAACAGTGTCGAATGCCTTGGCCAGGTCAATGAAAATGGCAGCACATTTTTTACCATTGTTCAAATGGCTAGTAATCTCCGATGTTATTCTATGCATAGCATCTTCAGTACTACATCCCTGCAAAAAACCGTACTGGTTTCCTGACAGTATATTGTTAATTCTGAAAAACTCAACAAGTCTGTCCTTAACACACTTTTCAAACAGTTTTGGCAAAGCCACTCACCAAACTTATAGGCCTATAGTTCTCTATCAGTGATTTTGAACCGCTCTTATGAACAGGTGTGACAACTGATGCTTTATAGTGGGAAGGTACAATTCCCGTTGCAAAACTTCTGTTAATTATGTGTAACAACGGTTTCAAAATTTCAATATGTGTTTGTTTTATTAATTTAGAACTTACTCTGTCCAAACCTGGAGCACTTGTACTCTTTTAACGACGAGATATGTTTGATTAACTCATTTTCGCATATTGGCGAAAGAAACATAGAAAGTACGAGCAGCACTAAAAGTACTTCTACTGCCGCTCCAGCGGCATTAAAAGTACTTTTGCTGCCGCTGGGGTTACCAAGCAGCATAGAAATTAAATTTCTACCACCTCGACAGGTGTTAACCCGCTGGATTTGACTAGCAGCATAGAAATCAAATTTCTGACATCTTGACAGGAGTTAACAAAGTGACGTTTTTCCGACGTTTGGAGAAAAACGTAACTATTAGTTGGTAGTCCAGGAGTGCGTTCAAAGACGGCAATGCTAATGCCAAAACCTACTTTTCCCCTTCTACCAGCAATACCAAATCTGATGTGAATTTGCTGGAACGCCAAATACCGTTTCTCAATTAGACAATCCAAACCACGTGACATTCAAGATGGCGTGGCGTCCACACATGGACGAAAAAACACAAAAAAATATGTTTCTGCCCAACTCAATAGTTTACGTACCTATTGTTTGCCCAGCGGATCTGAGTCTACGGCAGGAATTCGGATGTAAATGCGCCATATTGCCACGTTTAATTATAAAAAAGCGAAAATACTAGACATGAAGTATAGTTCATTTGAAAATCCATTTTTTAATAACAAAATATTGATAACAATAATAAAACTCTAAATATTTTAACGTTGTTGTTAGATCTATTCTTATTTCTCCTGATTTCTTCAATTTGATCTATTGTAAAAAATAAACATTTTCTGAATATACCATCCGCTTTTGACAATTTGGCAAGCATCCGGCCTGGATGAACCTGATTGGTGGAGTTTTTGGCAGGATCGCCGTTGCCATGGGGAACCATACGGTTGTCAATGAGCCAACGTCACCTTATGTCTCGCTATTGGCCAGGCCTGAGGTCATTTTATCCTCCCATCTTGGAATATCAATTTAAATTAAAATATCCAGTGGCGGAGGTTTGGTCATTGTCAATTTTCGTGTACGAGTTGCAATACGATAACACTTCCAAAAAGTTCCGCACGCAGCTGGGTATTTTATGAATGAAATCAGCCATTTTTTTTTACAACTGCATTCCCCTCACCGTTGCCCCGTAGACACAGATTCGCTGGGCAGACTTTACAAATATTTTATTGAATAATCAAAATCAAAGCTGCAAGCAAAACTCGAAGCAAAATTGAAATATGCATGAAAACACATATTCAAAACTAACTTGCTGGCCGCCACGCCATATTGAATTTGGTCTCATCCAATCAAAATTCGTATAACCATTTCTAGACTCAGTTAAAAGCACCTCCAAAAGTTACTTTACCGCGGCCGATTCTGAACGTGTAAAGCCAACCGTTTTTGGCACGCTGGAGCCGAACTTGAACGCAATATGCCAATTTTGGCTTGGCTTCAGCCGTTTTTGAACGCAGCCCAGGAGGTGGCACACAAATATATTTGTCAAATACCTGCAAAAATATGTTTTGACAGGACACTGAAGAAAATGCCATAAAATAAAAACTTTGAGGACGTCTGACCCCCTTTTTGCAACGAACTAGACGTCTGACGATTTACATACTTTATCTGTGACCTTCAAACAGATAATGTGCAAAATTTCTATAAATTTTGAGCTTTGAGAAAACAGTTTAGATGCTTCTTAAAATTACAACTTTGCCCGCGTCCCAGAGCCAGCTGTCCCGGAACTGTGAGTGCTGACTGTACACTAGCATTCTAGCACTAAAGTACGACCTATTTTGAAAATATCCGCCTTGCGAAAACTCTTGCATGTTTTTGGCGCCACCTCCTGGACTATATACAAAAGAGCCAAAAGACATTGAGTCTTAAGTTTCTACAAAACTGTGCTTCAAAATTCTACAACCTATTGCCATTGAAAATTAAGGATATACCAAGTCTTAAAGAATTCAAAAAAAGTTGTAAAGAATATATATTTAAGAATTACAAAAGTTTTCGAAATCAGTGTATTTAGGGATAACTATAAGATGTTTCACCTACAGTCTACAGAATCTTTAAACAGTTTAAACCTGCCCTTATCTCTAATGAATTAGGGTACTGCTAAGCCAGAATTTTATACATGATACCCCTCATTCATTATCATTATCAACTACTTATACCATTAAACGTGGCACATGCAGGCATTCTCATGCCTAGGTGCCACAATAAAAAATTATTAGATTATAAAAATATTACTGTGAATTGTACTGTTGTTATGTATACTGAAAATATTGAATAAATTATTATTATTATTATTATTATAAATCCAGAGCTCAGATAATAGGCAACTTTCAGGCGCCCGAAATATGGGAAATTATGATATTTTTTTTACGCGGATACTTAAGGTAAAGTACCCAATTGTTGACATGCTAAGGGCCCGGCTCAGGGTATCCTTGCTCATGATCACCACGCATTTTCCAAATTTTCAGACCCTGCTTGATATATTTTTTTTGCGTGATTTCGAACACACATTTGAATGTTTGAAATATATTATTTACCCTATATCTTCATTATTTGTGTTATTATGATAAAAATACCTGAAAGGTGATAAAACCCCAATAGTTGACAGCCAAAAAAGTTCACAATCTGTGGTTCACTTCGCCAAAAGTCGACACATTTTTAGTTCAAAGGTTGACATATATTTTTTTACAAAAAAATGATAAAAATAAGGTTTTCTTGTGCTTACCAGCATTGGAACTCTGTTGAACATTAGTCTGAGTCTGAAAAGCCGTAGGATTGAGCCCCCTGGTATTGGGATAACTCACAGCCGAGAGTTGCTGCTGAAATATAGGATTTGAGGCCAAACTTAATTGGTTTGCAGCCATTTGTTGCAATCCCAATCCCAAATTCTGCTGATTGAGTCCCAGGTTTTGAAATACTTGTTGTTGTGGCTGAAACGGTACCATGCCTGAATGGTTTAAGCCGCCCATGGACCCCATGGGATTGGCGCCCTGTTGTTTGTTACCCCAGGGGCTTTTGTTGTTGTAACTCATCTTTGAAGCAAATTGTACACAGATTTTCCTCCGTTTCACTTTTTAAATAATAGAAGAAACCCTTGCAAATTGCAAATTGATCACAAAAATATGAAAAGCAAAAGCAAAACCCAACAAAAGTCAAATTCACAATTCAAAATTTAATTCACTTGTCTCCGACTCAAATCCAAACATCCGCCATGTTCATCCTTTCATTTTTTCATCACTTCTTTTTATAAAAATAATGTGGTGGCTATAGTTGTATTCCTTTCACACCTAGGAGGAGCTTCGGAACAGCTCTGGGGCGTTAGGCGCTTATTCCTTTCGAAAAGTGTTTGTTGCACCTGAGCCCGAATCAAACCATTGCACGAAAGCCATAAATAATATCTGTTCCTTTCAAATCGGGGTAGACTAACACCGGAGCGAGTAGCTCCAGTGGTCCAAACTCTTGAAAGGAATACAACTAAATAATAGACACTTTTAAGTTAGACAAAATACGTTAACGCTAACGTAAGATTTGACAGCTACGCATGCGCAGTTTCTTTTCACCAAAAATAGCGTATTACGTGTCACGTTATTTAACGGGTCTTTGCGTGTACCTTATCCGTAAACGTTCGTTAAACCGAGTGGGCCTGAAAGCCAGATTTCCGGCGTCGACCTTTGCCAAATGTATTTTAACCTTAAAAAAAAAAGTTGTCATGTAATCCAAAATAATTAATATACGAAAAAATATTTCTAATTTGTCCTTTTCACAACAATATTTAGAGTTTAGGTCATGATTGTGAGACATAACGTTAACGTTTACGTGAAAATTTAACTTAAACTGATTTGTGAGTACCGACGATCACTCGACGCTATAGTAAAAAATAGGGTTTACGTTTAAAGATTACGTTAACGTGTTTGGTCAAACTTAAAGTGTCTATTAACAAGGCAATTTTTCGCAAGGATAATCAAGCATCTTTTGCTGGATAATGTGATGTCATTTGTGTCATACTCCCCTAACTTCATTTCTCTTGTGAGAACAGACCGAAAATCACCTTTTCTTCATTTAAAATCCACGAAAAAATTAACTCACTAGCACAGCCTGAATCGCAAGCCTTCCATCGAGGTCTGCGGGTGACCTCATCACTATAAAGCCTAGTACTCATAACCGCGAAATTCGCTCTTTTTTGACATTGTGTCGTCAATTTGACGTTTTATGCGTGAATCAAACGTCAAATTCTCAAAGCAATAAGCAATGTCAAAAAAGAGCGATTTTTGCAGTTATGAGTACTCCTCGCGAGAAATTGCCTACAGTTTCGGCTAAAAAACATCCTGAGTAGAAAGTAGATTCAACGGATTGAAATAGTAAATTTATGTTGGAAAACTTGTATTGGAGCTAGAATTTTAAATTCTTTACCAACAACAAAAGCCATATTGTAAAAGGCAAAAGGCAGTTCACTGTAATGCCCCTGCGGCCTGCGATCCGAAAATTATTCCAAAAAGCTTGAACTCTGGTCGCGCTATCTCGAGTCAAAAATCTGAATATAAATTTTGTTCTGCTCTGCCTTTGGTTCTGCCTGCCGGACAGCGTCATTTATGCTCCCTCATCATAAAATCAACCCGAATTGACGTTTTCAATTAAAAGAGATGGACGATAAAGTATGAAAACATTCAGATTCCCGCCAATATTTGCTTGCTCGTCAATGTCAAGTGTATAGGGTGTTCAGCAATCCCCTGGTTTTTATTCTAATCGGTGACTCCACCGATGAGTTAGGTATCTTTGTTCAGTGAATGGAAAATGACAATGACCGACATAGAATGGTGAATTTTGAAATTGGAAAGAAAATGTGGGAAGCAAACAGCTTCCACAAACTAAACTTGAACGTGGATATCTTTGTATACTTGATGGGCGGTGGATTTCCCTTACTTTTGCGAGTATCAGTTCTAATTTTGCGTATCCAAATTTTGACAAATGTAGGATTTGATAAAAACTTATGGAAAGACACGTCCGCCGGTGAATAGGAATTATTTTCACGAAAAGGCACACTACACACAATCACCATTGTTAGGGAAAAACCTTGAAAAAACCGAGGAAATAATAGTTTCCAGTCTCACACGTATTAAAACTCTTGTCAACAAACCACTGTCAATAGCTGTCAATCATTGTTTTCATACTCTTTTGGCGTCTGACAGTCTGACGCCAGAGAGAGAGGCTTCTAAATTGAAAAGGTCAATTGTTATGCTTAACCCGGGGATGATCTATTGAGAAACCGACCCCTAGGATAATAAATACCCAGGGTGATCTAACCGCGTTCAGAAAATCATACGTGAGCGTTCATAATTCATAAATCATGCGGCGATCACCCCGGGGCGTTCTAAAAGGTCTGTTCCAAGCAATGACATTATTCACTAGAGCTATTTATCTCTGACTAGAGCGTTGTCAGAGCATCAAAAATAACAAAAGAGAGACAAAAGTGCGAGCTCCAAGTGTACCGAGCGTGAACCTAAGGGGCGCGTTCACAGTGGTTTTCCCTGGGTAAAACTTAACCAGGTTAAATATTTCACTGGTTGAGAAGGGTGCTCTTGGGATGACAAATCCGTGAACGACCAACGCCTGCGCCATAACGAGGTAGGATTTGATTTTGTTTTCCTTTTGTTTACATACGTTGTGTTTCGAATGTTTCGAGATGGATCCGGGAATAATATTTTTTAAAAGTACTATTGAAACTTCTTCGGATTCGTCTGATACGGAGGAAGAAGTCAGCTATGCTGCAGCACAAGCTGCATGTGGTAGGGCTAGCAGTTCAAGTTCAAGCCTGAAAAAAGGCATATTGAAAGACAGGATAATTTTATGACAACAATACGCAATTATAGCGATAAGGAGTTCCAGGAAAATTTTGGAGTTTCCAGAGAAGATTTCAACTGATGGCTTCCTGGAAAACTTGAAAACCAGTTGAAGTCAGCAATGTATGGCCCAGAAATATTACCAACAGTATTGTTTATCAAATTTCAAATATTCTTGTGAAACGCCTGCGCGACAAATTTTACCCATGTCTCAGAGTGGGTTAAAAAGTTGTACAACCGGGTAAACTTCTTATCATGGCTCTGTGAACGGAGCAAATATTTTAACCGGGTGAATTAGGTAGATCCGTGAACGACTTACCCTGCAAAAGACGCGCTCGGTGTGCACTCGGTGAGCGTCCGGCGTTCGACTGTGAACGCACTCAAGCGCACTCGCTTCCGAACGACGTCAATTAGGCGATTTGATTATTTGATGTCAATAGTGTCACTTTATTATTCTTTATGGTTTTATGGCACCGTGGGCATAACACAAACTTGATGACCGTGTATTTTCCTGTTATTTTCTGCGAATTTTTAAACGTTTTTTTATATAAATCTTTATGAACCACTTGATATTTGTAATAAATGGCAAGGCATGTTTAAAGACGGTTTAAGAACCACCAAATAAGATAATATGCCTATGACATGTCTAGTGATTGGCTGTGGAAGTCGCAGTGGACGCGATAAAGTTAAATTTTATTCTGTTCCCGAAGTCAAAGATTCTCCTTATTTTCAAGATTTAAATAAGTTATCGAGAAAGCGACGGGAAGCCTGGATAAATGCTCTGGAGAGGATTGACCTAACTCCTAGTATTTTAAGAAGTTCAAGAGTTTGTAGCAGACATTTCATAACAGGTAAGTATAGCCATTTATGTTAAGCTTCGTGCTTTATTTTTGATATTACAACTTTATTATTATTGTTATTATTACTATTAATAACAATGCGTGTTTGAATAATTACATTTACCTACTAGGTACTATGGTGGCTATGGTTAAGATTCAGGAGGAGTTTAAAAATAAGTGGTTTACTTATGGAAATTTAATGTATTGTCCTTATGTCCCGAGTTATGACCTTATATCTTAAAGAAATGTCTAAACCTAGGTATGCCTCTAGAACCATTTTATCTAGAACCGACTACACCCTATAGACGCCATGGTGATTGCCAAGCTTGGATGACAGTGTTTCAGCGAGCATTTGTGAAAATGTTGGTCCTTACTCCTTGCTTGATGTGCGCGCACCGAGATTGTACACACGTTTTCTTGCATGTTTTATTTGCCAGTTATCTGAGTTTCAACAAGTCCCTTTGATGTGTGCTAGAAATACCCCCTGTGAGGCGAATGTTGGCCCTGTTTTGTCACATGTTTCGCATACACAGGATGCATCAACGTTGAAACCAGCAGACATTGGCAAAGGCTTGTCATGCCGTCTGTAGCTGGCTTATAATACAGGGCGTCCTTAGATAAACTGACACATTTTGCAGGTAAATATCTCGAAAACGGGAAGAGATAACGAGATGCGGTTTGTTCTGGGAGAATAAGGATTTTTTTAAGTTTTTTTTCACATTATTGCCGAATCCTAAAATTTGCTAAAATTTGGTTTTACAGACATGCGATTTTTCGAAACAAAATGACGGCCTTATTTTTAATGAAACACCCTGTATATTTTGTCATCGTCAGAAAGCCTGATTTTTCTACTTCACAAAAGTGTATAATTTTTTCTGATTATCTCGAACTTGCATCGGGAAAATTGCACTTTGTCGAAGAGAATACCATCGACTAACCCAAAAAATATTGGGAATTAATTTGTATCTAATACTTTTATTAAGTAATTAGCGCATAGTTAACTAATAATACAAGTATTAAACACAAATTAATAAGTAATGCAAGTGCATATAAAACACAAATTAATTATTATCGTTTTTTTTTTGGCCAGTCGATGCTACACTCTTCAACAAACTGTAATTTTCACAATTCAATTTCATGATAATTGAAAAAAATTATACATTTTTGTAAAGTAGAAAAGTCACGCTTTCAGACGATGACAAAATATACCGGCCTTATTCTTGATGAAAGAATAAGGCAGTATGTAATTATTTGAAAAAATCGAATGTCTGTAAAACCAAATTTCAGAATTCGGCAATATCATGAAAAAAAAACTTTAAAAAATCCTCATTCTTCCAGAACAAATCGCATCCCGTTATCTTTTCCCGTTTTCGAGATATTTGCCTACAAAATGTGTCAGTTTATCTAAGGACACCCTGTATACAGGGTGTTTCACGAACATCGAAACAGAGGCGTTTTGGGGTATTTTAAGGTCGATTTAAAAAAAAAAAACGCTCGGCAGTGGGGTGCACCCCTTGGGTAGGCTGACTTTCGCCCCTCTTT